ATTTTCACATCCCGTGGTTCACATGAGTGTCGTGCTGCTGAAGTACTGAAGATGCATAGTTTTGGCTTCAGATGGACATCGGTTCCCTCAACGAGGAAGCCTCCTCGAAGATGAAAGTGAAACATGTTTTGCACAGCCCTGCGATGTTATGCCTCTGATTTGATCAACCAAGTGAAGCGCACGTGTGACACCGGGATTTCAACAAGGACGGAACGAAATTCTCACGTAAGGATACGACAGTGACACATTATGCTGTGAAGATGTCGGGACTCAGTTAGACACCGCATCGGGTACCGAATACCTTGTCTATGAATAGAATATGTCGACGAAGCCGGGACTCAGTTTGAAACAGCAACTTGGGACACCGAATGCCTTCTCTATGAATATCATCGGCAAGAACGAATGAGTGAGCTATGAAGACCGTGTTTCCGTGAAGCTCTATTTCTTCCACGACATAATACTATGTGTTTCAGGATACGCACGACAGGTTTTGTAGAAGGTTCACTCCTGATGTGACCACCGTGTCGTTCTCTCGCTGAGTGACCCTCCTGGAAGCTGGCATTGAAGTAATTTCGCGTAATGACGCTTTGCGATGTTATGCCTCTGATTCGATCAAACAAGGGAGATATGCGTGTCGGAGTCGGCACCCGATTTCGGACCGGGTCTTGTCACATACAGCCCTATTTATGAATGTCATGGACAAGAAGGACGTAGTGAATTTCTCGCGTAGGGTTACGACAGTGAGACAGCATGTTTGGAAGGAGTTTGGACCCGGTTTTATTTCCGCAACTCGGGACACAGAAAGCCTGTCTATGAATGTCATCGGCAAGACTAAATGAGTGAACTTCGTAAGGACTGCGTTCCAAGCAGCTCGATTTCTTCGACGATGGTACCAATTTCTTTCGGGTGCCACGGAATGTTTGCACCATGTTCACTCCCAAGCTTCCAAGTCGACAACAGTGCCGTGCTACTGAAAACACAGAGTATTGTTTCAGATGCATATGGGTTACCTCGACGAGGTTCCCTTTTCGATACTGACCGTGAACCATACATTTGACAATGATGCCCTACGATATCATGCCTCTGATTCGATCAAACCAGGGAGATATGCATGTCGGAATCGGGACTCCGTTTCACACCGGGACCTCGGACACCGAAATCTTGGCTTTGGAACTGTTTACACGGTCTACGAGGATGAAAATCTCTAACCCGCCTCGTACGATGTAGTCATTGATTCAAGAGGTTGCATGCAGACAGTTCCTCCTGGTGTCGTGGACGCCAACATAGCACATGCTAGGCCGATCCCGGCACGCCAACAACCACCATAGCGGCAGAGGAAAAGAGTGGGCAGGGGCAAGAGTTGGGGGGGTTGCACGACGGATGGCAGTGATACTGTCACCAAAGAGGGTGGGACCGACGGCAGTCCGCCGAAGAAGAGCGAAAAGAGGGGGGGGGGGGG